CTGTTCTTCGTTTTGGCATATGTAATGATAATTTCATCTCAGTGTGCTGATATGAATCGATCACTTGAATCGATGTAAATATGTATCAGGTTCTATAATGCTTATGGCTGATTGATTATTTTGTATAATAATGATGTTGACTAAGAATATTTGAATGATTCGAGCATTCAAAAAAGTATTTCATTGGATTTTATTACTTCAGAGCACTTTGTGCTCATACAACTTGGCTTTTGAATAGTGCTAATAATAATATATTTGAAAACTACACCAATTTATTCAGATCTTGAAATGGTTGATGATTGACCTCCATGGAAAACTTGGAAGCGCTGGAGGCCGTTTCGTTCTATGGTGAGACTCCAGAGAAGTGCGCATCCACGATTCCGCTCGCGGAATTCGAACCCGGGGCCTTCAGTCTAATTTATTAGTTAGTAGAAGTTGTATTTGTCTCGTTCGTTTCATATTTAGCACTGATCAAATGTTATCGATGAATTTGCAATATGATCACCAGTTTAAGTGACTTGTTATTAGATTAAATGTGATGAATATTAATCAGCTGTCAACGGTAATCCTCGGTTGATATTGTCTTTGTGATTATTGACATACCTCAACAATTTGTATTAGAGAGGGTTAGTCCTAGTTCGATTGGTTCACGAGTAATATCTGTAATTGTGAAACTGAATGAAAAGTATTTTAATTATGCACTAGTCATCTATTTCCCAACGATTGCAGATATATCCTTTATCAAATTCATCCCACTATGGTGAGAAAAAAACCCTGGAACACAAGTTTTCTGATTGTTGTTAGGTTCCATTTAATTGTTTTTTTAAAATCTTTATTCTTCATAAAAATAATGATTCATTATTCTACAAACCTGTTTAGGCCATTGAGCTCTGATATGTTTTATAGGATGTCATCGTGGAATCTTTTTATTATATTGAATATTTTTCTTAACAATTAATAGGCTCCGCAAATAAATATGACTGTTTTATTGAAATGTGAATATTTGATAAGTCTGTTTTTAAATCGGAAGATAACTATAAACAGATAGAGATTTTATGGATATTATAGTAATTTTAATAGTTGAATTCACGAGCCAATTGAAGCTAGACCACTATGGAAAACCTGGGAGCAGTGGACGACTGTTTCATCATAGTATGTGACTCTTCGGTAGGTCGCATGCACGATCCTGATTTGCGGGATTCGAAGCCAGGGCCTATCGTTCTCGAGAGTGAGTGCTTATAATCATCATATGCTCACTAGTTAATAGCTTCAAGAGGTATTTCCTGGAGTTCAACTTAGAAGCAGTGACCAGTGATGTTCTATCGGGTCTGTTGTGAGATAATAACTCAGTGAAGACTATAGTAGACGGTGATACAATTTCGTGAATTGGTTAAAAATAGACAATAACACCGTCGGATGCCGGCCAACTCAGTGGTTTAGACATTAAGCGTTCACGCGCGAGATTGATAGGTTATGGGTTAAAATCTCGTGAAGTGGGATCGTGAATGCGCACTACTGTAGAGTCCCGTAGTAGGACGAAACGGCCGTCCACTGCTTCTAGGTTTTCCATGATTATCTAGCTTCCATTGATTCATGAATTCAACTATCAGCTTACTATAATATCCACGAAACCCCTCTATGATTATAAATGGATGAATGATCAAAAGATTTTACAATAAGCATTTATTCATTCTTATCTAAAATGAGGCTTATTCAAGAAATGCTAGTTGTATTTCCATAAATATTTTACTCATATTGAAAATACTGACAAAAAATAAACAGTCAATATTAATATGTAATTAGATAATGGTAAAACAAAACAAAAAAACATTTTTTAGTGACAATGTAATATATTACTGATTTTCTCGTGTATTCTTTTTCTTTTTTCTCTCACCCACTCCCTCTCTCTCTCTCTCTCTGACACTTTTTTTCGGTTAATTTTTATCGAATTCAAATGTGTCTTTGTTAAAAAATAGTTTCTTTTCGCTATTTTGTACTATGACTCGTTTAAGCTTTACTGAGTAACTAACTAGGCTTATTTGTCCGTACATGAATGTATATATGTATGTATGTATGTATGTATGTATGTATGTGTGTTTCTTGTTTTTACTTTTCATTGTTTGTTGAATCTCTATGGGTTTTTTTTAATGAACAAATATTTTGTCAGAATAACGCAGAAACTCATTAAGTTCCTTGACTGTCGAAGGGTCCTTGGAATTTATTCTTTTTAAATTCCGTTTGTATTCTGTTTATCAAACATTGTGTGACTTATAATATTACTGTATGATTTCTTTTAATAAAAAGAAATAAGACAAAGATTACTCCATCACAATCTCTTTCTATGTATATATAACTTTTGTACAAAAATGCTTTAGATGTCACTTCCTACCCACAGTGGTATATATATATATATATATATATATATATATATATATATATATATATATATATATATATCATTTCAGACTGTTTTCTTTTACATTTTACTGTCACCCATCTTTTTTTCTCTTTTTGACTATCCATTCGCTTTTTTTCTGAAGTTCCAGTATTAAGTAAACATAAAGATACTTTACATTTAAGATAATAAAGAAATAACTTTATACTTTATGTAGTTCTACTTATTGTAAAAATATTTTTTTAATTTATAAACTCTGATTAAGAAACTAGACATATATTAATCTACATTTATTTGTGGCAATAACTTCTAGTCTTAGCCATGTTGGTAGATGTAGACTACTTGGTTGGGATCCATGTGACTATTATAAACAATGGTTGGAGACTGTGAGTGATATGACTTAGAATCGATCACAATGGCGTCGGTGTATACACTTTCTATCTTCCATTAAACGATGAGATTAAAATCGCTCCATATATTTCTTTCTATGAACTAATTCTTCGTTCCTGTACTATATCCTTATATACAATCTTTCTTTTATATATTGCCACCATTGAATTAACTACTTGTATGAATTTGGTGTTCATCTAGATCTGCTGAGTTATGGCAACTTGGATTGATGCATGTATGTGCCTAGTCATACGTTGTAGCTGACTGACTGATTAACAGACATTTATTCGTTATTCATTGTGAATAGATCGAGTGTTCACTTTAAGTAATTTGTATTATTTTTCTATGTGTAAATTATGTTATATAATTAGTCAATACTGTTATATTTATTAAAATATTAAGCTTGTATTGACAAGTAACAAGACATATGTCATCCAGGTTGTACAGGATGTTCTATTAGATTAGCTACAGACAAATGACATTGAACTTAACCGATTTTTTGTTACCAATCATCAGTGTCACTATCATTGTGTTTACTGCTTAAAGAGACTTCTTCAAAATTGTTATTTTGTACAGCCTAAAACTATTATTAAAACCATGTTGTAATAAAATTAGAAAAGAGTGAGAATTCTAAAATAGCGAATAATGATAAGCCATCAATATGACCGTTATAATTATATCGATGGAAGTACATTCTTTTAAAGGGATTGTATCATCTGAGTTGAATTGCCTGTTTGCATGAAGCTTTCCTTATCACTCTAGACAACATGATTATTGCAATCTTTGAAAAGAATTTAAACCTTTCGAATGTATCTCAGTGACTAATAACCTGTTCTGTAAACTTGAAATTTAATTGGTTGTTGTCCGTAATGATATGGCCCTTGTTTGTATACAAAACTCGGTAAATAATGAACAATCCAAGCTTCCGTGATTTGTAATTAAGTGTTTAGCATAAATTTATCATTTAAAAATGTCCTTGATCAAACACAACTGAAGTTGAGTTATTCTGTATGTCTATAAACATCAGGTTAACGGTTTAACTTTATTTAAATAACTCCCTAATCAAATTTGTGATTGAATTATCTTCCGTATGTTCATCGGTAAGCTCAATTAAAAAGAGTGTTATCCCTTATTGCAGACTAATATTCGATTTGGTGACTAGTGGAGTTCAACCGGGTCTGTTGTGAGATAGTAACCCACTGAAGACGATTGTGGATGTGTCGCTGAATTTTATGGATTAGTTGAAGTTAGACCTTAACACTATTGGATGCTGGTTGAGTGGTCTAGAAGTTAGGCGCTCGCGTGTGATACCGATAGGTTCTGGGTTCGAATCTCGCGAGGTGGGATCGTGCTAAGGGGTCCTACAATGAGACAAAACGACCATCCAGTGCTTCTATGTTTCCCATGGTGGGCTAGCTTCAATTGACTATTAAAATTACTACAATATCCACAAAAACCCATTCTGATACTAAATCTTATAAGTAGCAATCCAAATCATTATGTAAAATGCGTCGTCTCCGATATGATTTAGATATTACATTATTCTAAGTTAAAATTGTATGTCTACGCTCTACCTCAAATTGTATTCTTTGTACTTACTCTGCATCTATTCTTGTTATACCACTTTATCAAATAATACATTAAAAGATGTAGTAATGAAGTAATTTTGAAACGATAATTCTGGTTATACATATTTCTTACTGACAAACAACGATGACCGACGATAGGTTGTCTACGAATTTCATTAGTTTTAAGTCAACTTCCATAAATTACGATAACTTCTGACAATACAGTAGAGCGGTTTTATAATGATGAGAAATGCAATGTTGTTCTTAATCTTACAAATAAAAGAATTTTTTAAACCCCCATTATTAAATTTTGAACAGTTCATGCATTGCCGAATGAGACATAATTAAGCTCGTACTCTGAATGACTAATTTTCAAGGTCAACTCGGGTGATCATCAGCTGAAGCGGGTGATGAGCCTTTCATTTCTATTTACTAGTTAGGAATTTGCACATCTTACATTTATTACATTAAATTTTTCGTTCACTACTGCTATAATGTTTAATTTTGAATAGTTCGTAAAGGGTTGTAACAATATTATGCATCTATACTTTTTTGCTGTCATTTTTATATGTAACGAAGTTATTTCCAAACTTATAAGCCAATTACTCTTATTATTATTATTATTATTATTACTGTTATTATTTGAGGGTCTATCCACTTTGATGGTGACTCGCATGCTTCGTACAAATGATACATCATCATTGATATATGAACCGAATCGTACAGCACATATAAAATCAAGAGGTCTTGTGGTAAGTGTTTGCTGGTGTTAGTACATTGTGTGTGTATATTACGGTTATTATTACCTTTGGTGTTTTCGCTTTTTGTTGCAAAGTTGTTTTTTTTTTAAATGTTCAGTGTCATCTTTGATGTTTGTATGTGTAAGTGAGTATAATGTGGCGAATGCATGTAATTTTATGTGTGTTTAGAGGTTTTTCCATTCTTTTAAGTAATCCATGTCGATGAATATTTTAGATTGAAAATTGTAATTCTCTCATAGTGAAAAAAATAGTAACTCACTGAGCAACATTTAGTTGCTCACTATTTATTTCTTTGTATTTTTTATAAATTTCTACCTCATTTTTATGTATTCATTGGTTTGTTGGTGTTTATACATGTCGCTCATTTTCAAGCACCATTTCCTGTCTACTATTAACTTATTTCAGTAGATAATCTCAGAAGTTTCAATGAGAAGCTATGACTATGTCGGTTATGCGACAGACACCAATAAAGGTAAAAAAATAACCACTGTACAAGTACGCGAATGGATTAAGGTTAGACATATGTTAACTCAGTAGTCTAAAGTTTGAGTACTCACCTTGAGACTTAATGGGAGTGTGTTTGGTTCCTGGAGACGTCACTTATGTATACTGCTGAGAAATTCCATAGATTTTAATGGTTGTCTGACTAAATTTAGTCCTTGATGTGAACCTAGAAAATCAAAGGTTTTGGTATGCGTAAACTAGTCAGTTTCTTAAATAGAAACAAAACTGACTTTACTGTTATCACAGTGATGATTAAAATTTATTCTCTAATATATCTAATCATTTCTATTTGCAACCTACGATTACACTTCACTACGCATGTATGTTCACACATAAACACACAGTTTATAATGGGTGTGTAAAATGAGATAACATTTACATGTTTACCAAAATAAATCAATCTCACTAAGGAGATAAAAAGGAGATGATGAATAACCTTTTCCTATATTACTTTACAGTTATTTGGGACGAATCATAGAAACAGTCTCAACCCAGATGTTATAGTGTTGTACAACATAGTTCTTCAGTGAACACTGAGATTTTTTTAAAGCCGTAGTCATATGAAAAATCGTTCTCTTTGAAATGGACATCGAATTTGATCTAGCTGTAAGGATGTTTATTTTTCTTCATCTTTATATTCTTCTTATATGAACGAAAATATTTACTGTCGATTACATTTATGAGCATTTAGTTAATTTAAGTTGAAATACTTACTTTATTACAACCAGTAGAGTAGAATGTCAATTGGTGTTATTTTAGTTGTATCTTCCCCTTGTTGTTTAGGACTGCAATTGATCAGTCTCTTGTTGTCATATGTGCATCCTATGCGGATTGCCTTGATATAGCTACAGTTGTAAAGCCATATATATAAATTGACTACTTAATAAAACATTCTTATTGGGAATGATAATTAGAATCTTTATTTCAGGTGAATACTTTAGAGTTGTTAAATTCTTTGAATTTAATGGTTTAACTGGGTCGTTCTTCATTTTCGTCAACTATCTGTACATTTTGTCAGATGAAAATTGTACAGTTACAGATAAAAGGAGTAGTTAAGTAGATTTGATTCGGTGTGTAGCAAATATTGAGATAAACCATCGGTAACAGGCTACGTGTTTATAATAATAACTATTATAAGCCCTTACAAACATTTATTAGCAACTATCATAAGCAGAGTTGGTTGATGATTAGCAGTGGAGTCCAGAAAACGTGTTTCTTCTTTTTATGGACTCGTCGGGTGGATGAATCGGCATGTCAGAGTTGATTTTCATTTATGAATTTGAACTCAATACCGTTTGCTTCAAATACCATCAAGTTATTCACTTAATCACTATCCGAATGTTTTACTGAAGTTTGTGACTTAACAGCAATATTGAAGTAATCCTCACACATACCAACACAGAATAACCGATTACAGTGCTAAATATCAATGAGAAGATGCATATAAACAATACAAATGAATCACTTAACAACTGTTCTCAATAAAAACTGACCACCCACTATACTTTTAAACTTATCACCATTTAATTGTCTACCTGTATTTGTTAATTGGTCATCCAACAGAAATCACTGCCATCTTGTCAAATACTAAGAGATATAATCGACCAAATTGTAATGTAACCGTTACCTTTAGTATTCTCACGCTACCTTAAACATCCCTTTCATTTCCTTCAAGTACATAATACTCTCAACATATTTTGACAGCATAAATTGGAGCTTTGCATTACTTAACTTTAATTTCTTCCCAAAAGTTTATAACCTTTCTCCATTTTATGCATCTATAAACCCATATTGGACATGATATATTTTCAATGTTTACTTACCTTCCATTAATCAAATCACTAATATTCATAATACTGCCCTCATTAGAATACTTTTTTCCTTTTTTTCCCTTTGTTTTTACTGATTATCCTAGTTGCGTAATCAGTAAGAACACAAACACACACACACACACGTGCATAGATACTGACATGTATCTATGTATATAACTAAATCGATTTATGACCATTTATACATTTGAAATTTATAAATAAATTTAACCGATAAATAAATAATAATACACATAAAAAGCCATTTTTGTGGAAACAAAAAAAATATATAAATAACTTTCAAATGTAAAGTTTACATTTCTTTCTATTACAAGGTATTCAAACCAAACTAGAACACTAATGGTAATAACTGTAATGGTAATCATAATCATAATCATAATAATGGCATTGATAATGAAGAGGTATAAACATTGTTCCCTACTTCACTCAAATAAACTTCTAAAAGTATATATATATTTATATATATAATGAAAATGCTAACATTACAATGTAATTCAAAGTTATTCAAAATAGCATACCTTTATTTAAATGGAAAAATAGATACTACTAACAAGTTTATTAGTAGTAATCTGTTATATAATTGAATTGAAGTAATACAGAAAGAATTACATATTATATATACAATTTTATTAAGTAATATAAATCGAACAAACGAAAAATATCTTATTTTCTTAAATTAGAAACAAGGATTGAAATAATGTTAGGCTTATAGATTATGAAGTGGAAATACTATGAGCTAACATGATTATCCAATTTTAAATATTGAACTCAATTGGAAGTCAAATTTAAGGATTAATGAAGTTATTTGATATAAAAGTAGATTAAAAGAAATCTGGAGCTGATGTATTCACGATATATCATAAGTCTATAAACTTATTGAATGTTAATCTGTATCATGTTAGTGGATCCGTACTACTTGGATGTGGTTAGTTTCATAAGTGAATCAGGTTTTGAAGGTTTTAAATGAAATGGTTCAGAACCGTTCGTAAATGTGTAAGTGTATTCACTCTTTATCTTCCTATCGATCTTAAATTCCAGTATTCTCATATATTACCCTTTGTCTTTTTAGACAATATTCTCAATATTTAGTTTTGCTCATTATCATTCCTACTGAATATTTCTATTCATTTTATCATTGTGTTATGATACGGCTATGTGAGTTAACTTACATCTTTACCAGACTGTGAGTTAATTAAGACAAACTGACTAGCTAGTGGATTGTATATCCATAACATACGTTTCATTTTAATAGATTTAAAGCATTCTATATTATAATGATTAAAAGATATAGAAACTGAAGTTGAGAAAATTAGATATTTTATGAACTAAATACATTTTGTGCAGTAGCATAGAAAGAATATCAGTAAGTTCGTTGAATGTTGATTATTGTTAATCGAGGACTCAAATCAAAGGAGACAGTAGCTTTCAAGTAAGTAAATCATTTCTGAGAGAGTTATGAATACTGATAGATATCACAACAAAAATACGTTCACTCCTTGTGTTAATGAAAATATCTGTTGTATTTTCACATAGCCAATGATCTTTTAGATGATTAATAATTTACTACATCGAGAAAACTAACATATGAGTACAATTTCTAATAGTTGAATCCATGAGTTGATTAAAGTTAAATAATCATGGAAAACCTAGAAGCACTGAACAGCCGTTTCGTCCTATTGACTGTCTCCAAGATGTATTTTCATGGATTTCTAGTGAGAAGCCGTGAACAGTGAAAATCAACCGGGTTTGTTATGAGATTGTAACTCACCGAAGACAGTGGTGGACGTTGGTGCAATTTCGTGGATTGGTTGAATTTAGGCATTAACACCGTTGGATTCAAGCTCAGTGGTTTATGGGTTAAGTGTTCGCTCACGAGACCGATAGGTTCTGAGTTAAAATCTTGTGGGGCGGGATTGCGAATGCGCACTGCTGAGAAGTCCCATAATAGGACAAAACAACAGTCCAGTGATTCTTGATTTTCTATGGTGATGTAGCTTTAACCGACTTATGAATTCAACTATTAAATTACTATAATATCGACATCACCTCTCTATGATTATAATATGTATATTTGGTGAAATAAATTGATTGAAGTTGTAGATGGAAACCATCGTATTTTAAGTCAGTTTTCTAACGGTAAAAGGAAATTAGTAGTTTACATAGTCAATATTTATCAACCCAGATTGTTGGGATATATATTACGTATTCATGACAAACGCTTTTATATATGTGTGTTACATGTTTGCGTAAAATTAAGAAAACTAGGAGTAGCCACATCAAAACATATCATAATTTCATAACGTCTCTAATAACCGAAATAAGCTATATAATTAAGTGCAGACTACCTGATGACAGTCTTTGAGATTATTATAATCAATGGTTGGTGACATTAGACATCATATCTCAGATTCAATCAAAATCTTTCTGATCCTTTCACGTTTTATCTTCGCTGTTATGTTTATTCTACTATCACTGATACTATTACTATTTCTACTACGTTTATATTTACCTTCATAAATTCATTTCATTATACTTTCATATGTTAACACAAATCGATCCACAAATATGTCACATTCTATGTTGGTCATGACTAACTGACAATTACTCCTGGAGTTCTAGTGAGAAGCCATTACCGGTGGAGTTCAACCAGGTCTATTG